CCGTCCGTCCCGCAAGTCGTCGAGCCCTCTCACAAGAAGACAATTGATGATTTCCAGATCATCGAGGACATGGGACAGGGTGCATATGGTCAAGTCAAGCTGGCGAAGTACAAAACGACACAAAAGAAGGTAGTTTTGAAATACGTCACCAAGCGGCGCATTCTCGTGGATACGTGGACGAGAGATCGCAAGCTGGGCACAGTGCCTTTGGAAATTCACGTTCTTGACTACCTGCGACGGCCCGATCTCAAACATCCGAACATTGTCGACATGGAGGACTTCTTCGAGGACGATGTCAACTACTACATCGAGATGGCTCCGCATGGTCTGCCGGGAATGGATCTCTTCGATTACATCGAGCTTCGCAGCAACATGGAAGAGGCCGAGTGCCGCAGCATGTTCGTTCAGGTCGCAAAGGCTATTGGCCATCTTCACACGAAGGCGCTGGTAGTACACAGAGATATCAAGGACGAGAACGTCATTTTGGACGGCGAGGGCAACATCAAGCTGATTGACTTTGGGAGTGCGGCGTATATCAAGAACGGGCCCTTTGACGTGTTCGTGGGCACGATTGGTAAGAGCAGTCAGATCTATTTCTCGTGGATGTACTAACGCAAACATAGATTACGCTGCGCCGGAAGTCCTCGCGGGCAAGCCATACGGCGGCAAGGAACAAGATGTATGGGCACTGGGAATTCTGCTGTATACGATCATCTACAAGGAGAATCCGTTTTACAGCATCGACGAAATCATGGATCGCGACCTCCGCGTGCCGTGGACGATGAGCGACGAGAGCATAGACCTGGTGCGGTGCATGCTAAACCGGGATGTGGAGGCGCGATACGACATCAACCAAGTACTCGCCCATCCCTGGTGCCGGGAAGTTGACGCCGAGTAACTGACTCGATGGTTTATGGTTGACGATGGAATGAGGAGTGGGGGTGAATGGTATAGGCCTGCGGAGGGCATGAAACAATTTGGTCAAGATACCCAAGAGCAATCTTGAACAGCACGGCCGGGTTCACCAGACCGGCCGGTTGTGCTTAGAGAGAGCCATTTGACGCAAGCAAGAGACTTTTTTCTTTTCTTTTCCTTCGTTTGAATGTGATGAATTCGGGATGGAAGAGGGGTCAAGGGATGTACGGCGTGATGGCCGGCGGAGGAAAACGACGAGACTCGGGAGAGACGGACAATCGGGGTGCACTTTGTACTGTGTTTGCATGGAGCTAGGTGGCATTTCAGCGAAGACAAGACACTTGATAGAAAGAATCACAACTTTGGCAAACGGGATGGTGGGGGGGCCGGCGTAGCTTGTAGGGAACATAAAATATGGAATATATTTTTCTGAAAACTTTGTTCTGGTCGTGTTGACGATGCTCGTTGGACATGGGTCTGAAGGACTGTGGGCCTTCGGCTTCGAAGCCGAGTCCGGGGTCATTGGAGCCCCGCTCCGGTCCCGGGAAGGGTTCCGGCCCTCTGGATGCAATGTTGAGATGAAAGGACTTTTGGTCCGATCAGAAACGCCTCCGGCCTTTGCACCTTTTGTGCGTTGTGAGTGTGCGCCATAGGTCACAGCCAGGTTATAAAGACGTCGAAGCAGCAGGGTGGAAATCGAAAACTGCGCGGTGCAAAGATGGGGAGATGGGGAAGGAGGGCGACCAATGTTTGTGCCCTTTCCTATGAAGGCTTGGATGCTGGGTGGTACTCTGAGCTGGGCATGCTAGGGGAGAGGCAAGAGAAGGGGTCTGTGTTATTTGAGGTTTGTAAATTAGTGCTTGTCAGTTATTTATACGTCTTTGAATATGGTGGAGATGCGGGTGACGGAGAGGAGGGGCTTGTTTTGGACTGGACCTCATGCCTTGGGTGAGGCTGCATCCTAAGGCACGCACTCTTCAGTGTTGATATCAAGGTGCTAATCATTTGTATGCCAGGAATACACCTGAATTATTGGTTGCTTGAGGAGATCAATAGTCTATCCTACAAGAAGCCTTTTTAAATTGATGCCTCTGGCGGGGATGCTGATGTCAGGTAATATGGTTCGTGAGCAGCTATGAGAGGAACCTTTAAGCACTCAAACAATCGTATAATCGTTCAGATACGCACAATCTCCTCGGAACTTTCCTTCCCTTGGGCCGCAATGAGATGGGTCGAGTGAATGTAGAAACATCTTTTTGAATGAACAGAAGTGTTTGCAGTGTACAAGCATGTTGAATAGCTGTCTTTGTGGAAAGGAATCTCGCCAGCTCACAAAAGCTTACAGCTAGCAGATTATTTACGTAATTAATACTCTGGAGATTGTAACAGAGGTGATGAGAGGCAGGCCGTGAGACGTTGTAATATGCCAGCGCAAGACTCTAATGGACTTACATCGGGGGCCGTAGGGAACAAAGACATCGTGTATCGCCCCAAGGACCAGTGCCTCATTTCTAGCCATCTTCTCTGGTTTGCACATGGTTTTCTGTTTTCTCGGGAAGGAAAAAAAATATTGTGTGATTGGCGCACGATACATGTAGCAGTGGTCCGCGTCCGCGAACGTGGTGGTGCGGGCAATGGTCTCCTCCGATAGCTTCACGCTTCGCAATGCTTGCCGTTACGTTCATTATGCATATTAAATAAATACCGTTACTTAAAACATGGCCAATACTGACAAGCAATGGGAGCCCATGGTATTGCTACTGATGATAGTATTAGCGAGAGCTCACTCTGGCAGTGTTTCAAGAAGAGAAGTGCATTATAGAGCTAACTATCCATATGGGCGTATAGTAAGCTGCCTCGAGGTTTAGTTCCTGTTTATACTTGAATGATGACTCTAAAAGAGATGGAGATACTCTACAAGAAGGAAGGGATGACGCGATAATATGATAGTTCTTAGTATTGAAGAGATGCAGACCGCTTCAGAGGGGTTAACAATACATGTTAGGTTAAATGTTCAAGAAAAGTGGGCTCTCACGCAGTCATGTCCTGCGCAAAATTGATCCCTTCCACCCTTAAAAGCATATTTATAGGGTATATCTCTTCAAGGTGATACTGTGAAGCTCTAAATATGGCTGAAAGAGAGCACATGCTTGTGCTGGTGACGCGGCGGCTGAACCACCGACGCATTTCTACGATATGCCAGCTTATCGTCCGCAAAACCTGGTAGATCAGACTTTCTATACAATCCGTAGTTGAGTATGTCGAAAAGGTCTCTGGGCACATTGAATCCTTTGAACTCCAGGAGGTGATGGAAGCCTCTGCACTGACGACTTTGAGTAGGATTGAACGGGGCTTTGACCGCAGGACGCCCGCTTATGAGAAAGCAGTCATCATCTCAAGCCAGAAGCTGCGAAATTGAAGTATTCTGGCGAATACTACAGAAGAGAGTAGGACGGACAGCGAGGGCGCAAGTGAGGAGGCTTTCCCAAAGTTGCAATCTTCAATGAAGCTGAGAGCATCGTCTCGCATCCTAGGTAGGCGAGAACGTTCCGTTTACCAAAAATGCAGGACTGGCTCGATGACATAAACATCACCTGTGATTCCAGCAACTTGATCCAATTGGACGCTTTTATACATGTATGCTCGGTTGTACGCGGGAAGGGCCAAGACAGCCCTTTAAGCCAGTTCTTGGATGCATCATACCAGCCCGAGGTCTCCTTGCTTCGTACTTGCACCGTCGATCTCGGCGTCCTTTGTCCTTTTCGCTGTGTCTCAACCAACTTGTGATACCCTCGTCCTCTCGATCTGGAAAATGATAGAAACCAGGACGGCATTGAGACCTTTATTTCATCGCTGCCACGTTGCAGCAGCAGTCCCACGGTGCCCGAATCCGTTTGCCTTTGCAAGAGACTTGGCATGCGGTGCGTACAAATAGGCCGCAGAACACTCGAAGTTTGCCTGCTTCCTCATCGAACTCGGACTGCGTGTCTGCCAAGATCTCCACAAGACGAAAGCACAATCTTTCAAATCAACCCGGCCCCGAGATCTGTCTGTCGTTTCCAACATACCTCCCCTAACACCATGAGGCTCCTCCTCCACCCAGCAATCCTCCTCCTCCTCGCCACCCTGACATCCCTCACCTCCGCCTCCTCTGCCAAATGCTCCCGCTGGAAAGACGGCATTCCCATTACCAAAAACTTCGTCATCCCCATGTACCGCCGCTATTCCATCGAGGTCAGCGGTATGGACGAGGGCGAAGACGTGCCGGCGCTCTGCGGCACGCTCTGGAAGGAGCTGAAGCAGTTTAAGGGCAGCTGCGTCGTCTCCGTTGACAAGCCGACGTGCGAGGCCAACGGCCCCACGGCGCTCCAGTGGTCTTTCAGCGTGGGGCTGGGGTGTAATAAGGGGATGGTGCATGCGGCGTGGTGGGATTCTACGAAGAACCGGCTGGGGAAGATTGAGTGTTGGAACGCTTGAGAGGATGTGGTGGTTGTCGTGATGGGCTGTACATATACTGGCCTGCGGCTTCCCTATTGTTTTGAACCTGAGGACTGCGTTTGGGGTTTCGCTTGCCACCAGACATAATCTAGGATTGACTGACCAGCTGACGAGGTCAACTCGCTCATAATCTGCCGCTGGCTGCAACCTCGTTTCTCCCACACAAGGCGTGTATATTCGATAAACAACTAACTCTTGTACTGAGTCGTGAGTATCTCGTAATGGTATCTCTATATACTGCAGGGTACGCCGAATGATGCGGTGTCAGGGGCCAGCTGGTTGGGGACAATTCTTCCAGTCCTCGATGAAAACCGATGCTGAGAGAAGACTGCATATTTGATAAGACGACCCCAAGAATGGCAATGGCAGTCTGGAGCAATCAGTAATGCGTGTTATGATAGAGTCAATTGACGGACGTAACATTTCTTTTGAGTGTTCGGGCAAGATCTAGTAACTTTTTGATGGGAATATACAAGTTCCCTTTTTGTTTCCGTGGACCATCCTCGGCATAAACCCCCTCGAATTCCAAAATTCCCAGAGACAGTTCAATCTAATGGGAGATCAAGTCCCCCACAGGAAGCAACAGCTTAAACGCTGAGCTGCGCGGTGCCAGACTTGTTGATGTAGTCTGCGTAAGGGGCAAGAGCCTTCTGGATGGGACCGCCAGGGCCAACATACCGCTCGACGATAGTTCCGGAGCGTCCGGTGTACAGAGCGGGGTCCAAAATGTTGTCCAGCTCTGCGTGGACAGGCGCAAAGTACGGGGTCGCCCGGATACGCTCGATCAGGTCGTTGGCGCCTCCCTCCTTCTTGACGACGTCGCTGGCCTGGTGGGACAGAACACGGATCTCCTCGTGTGCGTCCTGGCGAGAGCCGCCCTTAGCCACCAGCTTCATGATAATGTTCTCTGGCGATGGACGTTAGCACTCGCCCAGATCCTGGGGAACCCGATGGACAGGAAAAATGGCTGTAACATGGAAGCTGCGTTGGTAGAATCAGGGCCATTGAACGATATACGTTCGAGTCGGACGGGTTGAGGTTGATCCTTCGTTGGCGTTTGAAGTGTCGTCATTGCCGATAACGTGTTGTTTCCGGAGCGGTTTCTAGCGGAAAACAAACTCAACCGAACCAAAGTTATACCTTCTAATGGCCCTGATTCTACTAGTTTTAGCAGGACCTTTGCAGGACCTTTGTGTTTCTTATTGCGGCTCATGTCATAGGCATTCAGAGTCGAGTTAGGCCTTGCATATCCTAATCACACGGCGAGCTCTAAGTGAACACTGTCGTATCGCGAGATCATGCTGAAAACAAGAGATGACGGCCTCAAAAGACTGTATGGCCATTTTTCCTGTCCAAAGGATGATGGAATGAGGAAAAGACTTACCGGTGGCCATGAACGGAAGCTCGTCCATCACTCGGGCGTGGATACGCTTAGGGTAGACAACCTTTGATTTTGTGAATAAATTGTTCAGATGGTAGAAGGGGAAGACTTACCAAGCCAGAGGTCACGTTGTCCAGTCCCAAAAGGATGGCGTCGGCAAGGAGGAACATCTGGATTTGTTAGTTTCAGGAGTTCCAAAGCTGAGTGAGTGATCGAACCTCTGGGATATCAATTCGCCTGATGGCAGAGTCATCGAGGGTACGTTCGAACCACTACACCGTAAGTCAGAAATATGTAGTCCAGCGATGCTTCGATGCTTACCTGATCCGCAAAAGTATCCGCGAAGTTGACGGGCAATGAACGAAGTTTCCTTCCCAAAGAGCAAATACGCTCGCTCTAAAACTCGTTAGCATTTATTGGTATGACATGAAGGCGGGCGGGAGAGGGGAGGGGTTTTCGGCTCAGAATTGTTTTTGACGATTCCAGGCAAATGAATTAAACTACGTACTCTCATGGGGTTTCTCTTGTCTATATTCAATTCAGCTTCAGTTCATATATCAAGGCTCTTTTGCGACAATGAAAGTATGTGGTTTTCTCTTTTTTGTTGTAAAAGGGGTTGGATCGGGGATGAGAAGTGAAACTTACAAGCCATGGCGCTTGATCCGATCTGGTCCTTCTCGAAAGGCCTAATCGAACGTTAGGAAATCTATCCAATAGGATCGCTTCATCTTGATAACTCACTCCTCGATCTCCTTCTGCGTAGCGAGGTGACGCAGGTCGTTGGTGATGTGCATCGCGGTGGCACCAAGGCCAGCAATGGCGTTGGACACATCCAAATCGACCTTACGGCTGTAAGTCTGGACTGAGATGTCGTAGACACCTGTTTCGAAGCCAGCCAGCTCGCACAGGCGCTCATTCAGCTTGTCAATCTTCTCTCCGTCGCCGTGGTAGACCTCCATGAAAGAAGCCTGAGTGCCGGTGGTACCCATCGCACCACGGAAACGCAGTTCCTTGCGCTGAGTCTCAATGTTCTTCAAGTCCCTGGCCTAGAATACTGTCAGCACGGTGCAATCAACTTTGGCAGGGCACTAACCAGGTCCTGAATCCACTGAGTAGCGCGACGGCCAACGGTGACTAAGAGATGATGGTCAGCCTTTTGGTTTTTAAGCAACGCTGACGATTTTCATGCGCCCCCAAATATTGATTGAGGGACATCTGAAAATAGCCTGTCCTGAAGCGTGCAAGAAGAGGAAATAAACGCACTCAGCTGGGCGGGCTGGTAGTGGGTGTAGCCGAGGGTGGGGAGACTGCGATTCATCAGAAAAGGTGCCCAGTATTAGGGGCCTGGCGGTGTCCTCACTCCTTGTGCTCGAGAGCAAACTTAGAAAGGTTGTCGATCACCTTGGCCAGCTTGGGCAGCAGCAAGTCCATGGCATCTCTCATCAGAATCAACTCGGCATTGTCAGTGACATAGCCTAGTTTATCTGGTTAGCCATATCCTTAAGAGGGCTATGTGAGAGAATGTTTACATGAAGTTGCTCCGTAATGGATGATTGGGGCAGCCGCAGGAGCGACTTGCCCAAAGGCATGGACGTCTAAGTCGTGTCAGTCATATGGCCTTGAGACTGGGAAATGTCTGCCGTAATGAACTCACGGGCCATCTACGGATTGTCAGTAACTCTCGGATGATTTGGCATTCGGATAACATACAACATCGTGACGGCGTCTCTTCTCCTCAACAGCGGCCACCTGAAAGTCCTCGTCCGTGACAGTCAGATGCTCTTCCATCTGCTTCAACGCCTCGTCTGTGATGCCCTCAACGCCAGTCTCCTTCTCGGCTTGGGCAAGGAAAAGCTTAAATAATTCGTCAACAGAATTTACCGTAATTTGAGAGACTTCTACCCACCCATAACTTGCGCCAGGTCGAGTGTCTGGATCTCGCTCCGAAGAGCGTTTTCATCTCGGGGCTGGCATATCTGCCGTCGAGCGGGGTTGCGTACGTGTCGAAGCCCATCTTTTTCTTGTTTGTGGCGGCTGTACTCAAAAGCTGGAAGATGAGTTTGTGAAGACGCAAAATTGAAGACTTGAGTCAACCCGAAGTTTTCCGTTCAAAAAAAAAGCTGTCTGAGTTACCAGTGAGGTGACCCCGCCATCTGCCACACTGACCCCGCGGTGCTGTTTTCGGCAGGCGGTCAGAAAACCCCAAGTGCCCCGGCAGCCCACTTCAGCAAGCCGACCGGTGACCCCTGCCGGTCGGGTCCTCTTACCTCATCTTGGGAAGCACGAATCAAGGTACATCGGCTTGGCCCAAGCTTCAGCCAACTCTTGTTTAGTTCCTCTCCAGCCACCATCGACCAACTAACTACATTCCACTTCATCATCAGTCGAAGCCTGTCGTTGTAGCTCTTTGAGTGCTGAAGCTTGATCTGGGATGTGCGTCCCATCGCTTCTCATCTCTTGTAGTCAACAGAACTCCTGGTTCAGGGGGTAATCAGTGCACGATGAGAGCCTTCGATGAGACCCAGTGAGTGCGCGTCGCATCATCACAACAGCCCTGACATCATCCTCACCGACTAATCCAATACACAGGACCCGATGGGCCGAGACGTTGAAGTATGCAGGCATTCTGCCTGATTTACAGCGCGCAGTAAAATACAATGGCTCATCGAGTCCGTGTGTCTCGGGTTGTAGGTCTGTTTGCTGGAAGGTCAGTGTGAACTGAGTGCAGCCCGTCGTCTCATGCCACTGCGAGCTGACCAGCGCACACACCCAGGCTTTCCTGCTTTTTCAGACTGCAGAAGTTGCAGAGTGGGCACAACACATTTCCGAATCCCGTGATTACTACTCTCGACAGCGCGACCATTTCTTGAAGTTCATAAAGCATCCCGAAGAGCTTGCCAAAGTGGCTGTTGATCCTCTGACCGATGATCCGAAGGTCAGCATCCCGGCGTTATTATTATCATATGCCGACATGCTCACCTCCCCTCCCAGTCCCCTTGGAACACCGTTCGCCAGGACGAGATTATTCGAGCAGAAATCGCGCAGGACGTTCGTCGCCTCCCAGACGAGCCATTTTATCATGAAGAACGAATCCAAACGATGATCGTTGATGCGCTATTCGTGTACTGCAAATTGCATCCGAACAGCGGTGGCTACCGTCAGGGCATGCATGAGCTTTTTGCGCCCATTGCATATGTCGTCAACCAAGATACGCTGGACCGCGAAAGCCTCTCTTCGAGTGGTGCCACGGCAGATGAGACAATGCTCACAGTGCTTGATTCGTCCTACATCGAGCATGACACCTTTGCGATGTTCTCAAAGATCATGGAGAAAGCGAAGGCGTTTTACGAAGTTAAGGATTCCATTTCTAGAGCAGCACTGGCATCCGCCTCCAAGGATCGGGCTGAAACCTCGGCCATCGTCGAGAAGAGCAAGTACATCCACGAGGTTTGCTTGGCAAAGGTCGATCCTGAGCTGGCAAACCATCTCAAAGATATTGAAATCCTGCCACAGATCTTTCTTATGTAAGTGCTTCAGGCTAGAATTTTCTGTCACTCCTCCTAACACAGGTCTCAGTCGTTGGATCCGCCTTCTATTTGGGCGCGAGTTCCCATTTGATCAGTGCCTCGTACTCTGGGATACCATGTTTGCCGTCGACCCGTCGCTAAACTTGATTGATCTTATTTGCGTTGCTATGCTTATTAGGATCCGCTGGAGTTGTGAGTCTTTTGACACCTGCAGTGATTTCTCAATTAACACCCCCCAGTGCTCGAAGCAGACTACTCTGTTTGTTTACAGTTGCTCTTGAAATACCCAGCCCCTGAAGCTCCCCATGGCCCACACACGTTCGTGGACGATGCAGTGTATCTCAGAACGCATCTTAATATGTCAGGTGGCGCGTCACTTATCTTGAAATACACGCGGAAGATGCCGAGCTCAACACCGACGCCATCGGCTGGTAGCTCACGGCCATCGACGCCGATGGGTCAGGCATTCTCCTCGTTCAGGCACCGCAACAAGGGAGCCCACTCCCCAATACCGTCCCCAGGCAGGTTTATCCAACAGCAAGGCGGTGTGGAGGCTCTGTTTCAAGGTGCCGCCAAAAACATGCTCGAAAGGAGCGAGAAGCTCGGCATTAACCAGGCCGTTCGGGATGCCATGGGCGAAATCAAAAGAAACATGCAAGGTCTCAACGACGTGCGCTACTCGCCTCGTGTGGCGAGGCAGCTGCTCAACGACGAGACGGCGGCCCAGGCAGTGGCCGCATTGGAGAGAAGAAATAGACTATTGGCCAACATGCTAGACGAGACGGTTTCTAGCCTGAGATCTCTGGCTACATCTAATCTGGATAACAAGGTTAAGACCCTAGAACTTGTCGAAGTCGCCGCCGCGAAGGTCCAGTTCGTTAAGGTGTACTTGGAGGATTCCACTATCGAGGTTCCGGATCTGGAGAGTATCGCAAGCCCAACATCCGAGGATACCAAAGAAGAGGTCCCGATGGACATCGGACCAGACGACAGCGCCGTGCTTGGTGGAATGCCCGCCCCTGAAAATGTCGCAAATGGCATTTCAACTTTGTCGCTTCAAGAAGACAGGGAGCCGAAATCTTCGGATAAGCAACCGATTCAGCCTGATGCAATGGAGATCACCGAAGACAGCCTTCCTACTCAGCCATCGGAGGCGCCATCAGTGTCGGTATCGAGTCCGGCATCTGGCACTCCCTCACCGAAGGTCCAACGGCCTCAACCGCCCATCCCAACACGATCAACTCTCGCACAGTCTTCGTTCTCTTGGATGCTCGAGCCGGACCAGTCGGCGCACTCAGCAACGCCGCCGCAGCTACCCAAGGCTACTTCAGGAGGTAATCACAAGAAGCGGCCCTCTCAAAATATCAGCAGAGAGCGCAACGCATTTCTCTTTGGCGAGGTCGTTGCCGAGTCAGAGGACCAGAGCAAGCCGGTCAAGTCGGACGATATTTTTGGACTACAGCCGATGGGCAAGTCGAAGTCCCCTTTTGCATGAAGTACGCATTGCAGATTTAGATTCACATAACGATTACGAGGTCAATACGGAACGCTGTAGCGGCATGGTTATGATGAGGTTACGACGCGTTGCATTATTTCTTAGAAGGCTTGCAGTCTACACAGCATAATGCTATGGTAATGATCATCGTCTCTCTGCTCTACGGGTCCAATGCATTATGTTGGAACAAATGGCAGGTTCTATCGATGCTGTGCCGCATATATTGATACTGTGCTTCACCTGTCTCTGCTACCTGAGCATTCGGGGCCTCTTTCCATGCTCGCTCTCAGGATTTCGACGGGCACCAGGCCGATCTTTCCTTCCCCTGTCTAGTGACAATCAGACGATGTCGAGGTAGGAGCCAACTTGTTGGAGCCGGGTGCCAGGAAGGTACGTTGCCTGTGGCTACCTATGCATCAGTGTCCAGAGTTCCACATTCGTCACCGTTTACTGACAACTTCACATCGTGGAACCAACAGTGGACAATTTGTGCGCGCAAACCTCGCTTGGTGCTCCCTGTTGCGACACACTTCTCATTCGCCTCAAAGGACCTCTGGAAATCCACATCTCATCAATTGGGCCCTCAGCCAAGATCTGAATGGACAGTAGCTGCATTGCCTCCTACGTGCCCCGTTCCACACCACACCGAAAGCAACAAGATCTGCCCACTGCCACGATTCCATATCCTCGGGCTCGGGGGCGGTGTCGCCTCGTCCTACGGCGCACACGCACGCCAAATCCAACAAGCCCTGAAGACATCAACATCGTCAAGCCAACTGATCCTTCGAGAATGCTTCCATGCGGGCTTGACAACAATCACCAACGCGCATTCAGCAACGCCACCACACGCGAGAGCCCAAGCCATTGACGCTAATCAAGGAAAACACACAGTCCAAAGCGGCCGGATCACCAACCAGGAACCAACAACCACTTCCTCGACAACCCTTGCTCGAGTGGAGACGACCAAAGAAATTCAACCTCTCTCAACCCTGTCAGCGGTAGCAAACACGCAGCAGAACCATCCGTCTTCATCGTCACCAACAACAAGCGTATCCACCCTTCTTCATGAATCCGTCAAACCATGCAACCCCAATTTGAATTCTACAACTACAGGGGTTGCTTGTAACTCAGCAAAGACACTCGGAAAACACCCTGTCCAGGGGTTCGTCGTCCTCGACCCGAAGTCCCGACTCTAACAAGCTTGGCAACCCCCAAGATTGACTCTGTGCTGCTTGACAAACTTGCGGCACACACCTTGAAGAGAACGCATCCCAATCCAACGGCAAGTTATCTGTCTATGTCTGGCCTGTGGCACCACACCCCAACTCCCTGAAAACCCCATACCCAAGGATTCGTCACATGGCCTCCCGATTTCATCAAGAGCAATCTACTTGGCTGAAAAAGGCAAGCAAACAAGCAAACAATTCAGCAGCTTTGGCCATCTTGCAAACTGCCACACGCCCCTCGGTGCCCCCGGCAGTACAAGTCCTTCATGCTCTCAACGGTCTGTCACTTCTGAACCGACGCCACCAACGGTCAGGCAGTTCCGACAGTCTGGTTCGTAACATCCTTTGGACACCATGACAGGTGCAAACACGAGAACCAATCCTCGCATCCCCACAGTGGCAATCATCGTCAGAATTCTTCATCTCTTCATCACCACTGCATCACATCCCTTCGTTAGCTTGCCTGCCCCAGTATGGTGCCCCTGGAATATTCGACAACAATAGGGCATCCGGTGAAAGCCCATGTTCCTGCGTCGAGGAAACAAGCCACCACACATCGCTCATCCTCATCTCTTGTCTTCTCGTCCAGCCGCTAGTTTGCCCAACACACGCCCCTGCTGACCGAAGAATGCCATGTCAGCCCCTCCCCCAACACCAACGCCAACGCCGTGCGTCTACAGGCGCTGCCCACATCATCCAATGCCTGCCCAGCCTCACGGCCTCACCACACAGCCCTGATCTCCTGGAGACCTGTCCTGCTTCACGC